ATTGCGTCATTAGCTCTATAGATCACCAATAACCAATCATGGACTGTTGCTCAATCCAAAACTTGTATCCTATTGATCCGCTATACTTCATCAATAGCGCTATTCCTGATATTGATTTCAATGGCATTTTGGCAACATTGTAACCAATTTAACAATAACGTTCAACGACGTCCAAAAGCAAACATATCTGAATAGAATTCCATAAAATTATGCTATTTGCATAACTTTGTTTGGTTCCTGCCCTTATTCTGTTTTCCTGATAGAGAAAGACAACTTTTCCTCAGTGAGACTGAATGAAGCAGGGCAGGAGCCCGAAAATTGTCTGAAAAAAATCTATGTAATATGCACTGTTATAAACACATACCTCTTCTGCAATATATTTCCTTGTGTGATATGAAGGTCGATTTTCTTCTTTTTTATTATAATTATTGTGCATTGTTTCTCCGTTGTCACTACTCAGGTTCTCGTTTCAAGGTCGTTACTTTACTTAGATCTGACTTACATATACATTGCATGTATCGTCGATGAAGCAGAAGACGCCTTCCCTTCCAGAACACCTGGTCTTATTATTCTTGTTCGTTTTCAAAGTTATCAATGCAACGAGATTGCTATAATTGCATGTTTTATCTCTTTTTTGTATAATTCACTGTATCTTTACAAAGTATTCAATCATACACACTATTTCATATGGTGTCTTACCTACATGCAGCTAGAATAAACCTTACATTAGAAATGCTATCAATTTTTTTTTTTTAAAGCAAAATATAAGAAAAAAAACGACCTCCTACACAAGGTTTCCCGTTGCAAGCCGGATGCACACATCAGCTACAAAACCATTGGATACCTCAATCAGTTGTTTGAAAAATTATGTAGTTTATGCCTAAAAAATGCTTTATTCGTCTGATATACGTGGTATATAATACTTATTTCACCACAGAGAAAATTATCGTTAGCTATTTCATAAACAAGGATAAGCACTTACATATTATTTTCCTAATTTTGTTTTGCTTTGTTCATGGTTTGACGTCCTCGCAATAGCTATAGCCATACTAACACGCATATGCGAGAGGTCGTTCAAAACCTTTCACTTAGAATTGACCAATACGTCTTCACGACGTCTCAAATAAGACGTCTTTTAACACGCTACCCGACAACAGACGGAATATGTAGGATATTGTGTTCTGATGAAGATACCAAGCTTCAACTCGTTGATAGAACTTTTGACATACGAAGTGTTATGTGGTGTGGGATACCACTCTTCGATAGTGTTACCAAAGATAAAAAAAAAAAAGTGTCAATTATATGTTCTTTAAAGTGTATCAAACGAGCAGAGAGAGAAAAAAGCGTCAACACTTCCTCTCCACGATGTTTCTCACAGATTACTTGATACCCATTCTCGATATTCAGGGGTTACGCTCACTTTTGCTCTCTGCACCCCTGGACTATGTCAAAGTAAAATTGCAGGCTCATTGTGCACCACCTTGTGGACGAGACACGAAGACAAGTTTGATCCTTTGATGTGGCTTTGAAGTTGGGCGTCGCTCCTCTGTAATCTTCAAAGAACAAGTATCAGCCAGGCGATTGGTCAGGGTATTTTTCCTGACACCAATCAAATAGCTAGCCGTGTGCCTTCAATTTTGCTATAACATGAGTATAACCCCTGGATAACGAGGATGCTTGATACCCTATCGCATGTGTTCAACACCGAACGGCGACATCCTGGCGACAATGACGGACATAACATACCTAAATGTATACGGCTGCAATGATACGTATACCTCACGATACGATACGTATCTCGGTACGATGCTCACAATACGATACGTATCACGATACAAATATCTGCATAGAAGGTCAATTTTATAATGAGTGAGTGTAGGATGGTATCCAGTTTTTGCCATAGACTTCAATAGTGAATATACTTTTGTATAATATCTAGTACTTTTGGGAATGACTGCACAGTAGATCATATTTTTGTCTGAAGGGTTCAAAATATATAATAACCCTTTGTTAGAGTTTGATTAAAATTGATTGATAATTTAATTGCTGTAAATGTATCAAAATACAGGCAAAAAAATATCGATACACAAGTGAGTATCGCGATACGATGCGATATACCGTTGTAACCCTACTCGTAGAGCCAAGCACTATATCAGTTCTGGTAAGATATACAACATCCAAGATAAAGATCTGGCTCGCGCTCACTAGGGGGATATTCGTGTATGCGGAATACCCAGTTTGTCTGTTTTCAAGTTTAATATTTTCGGATATAAATCCTGGCGAACCAGCAATTGTTTATGCATGTCTTGCAAATCTTTGTTTAGGCTCGCCGGAAAGCAGTAACAACTTTGGTCCAACCGTTTGGATCGCGATGAACGAAACTGGCATAGGTTATGAATCCTGGTAATACTACCAAACTTGCATGTAGAAGAAGTAGGAAAGTGCCGTTTTTGGGCCAGGGTCATTGAGTGAACTCCCCTATATAATCCTTACCATCTCCCTGGCACCCCCTAGTGCCCCCCTCCCCCTTCGGCAGGGGGGTACCGATCGATAACGTCACATGGGGGTTCTCATGTATTTGGGTTTTTCCTGACTGCATCTATTTATAGGGACAACCTATATACGAGGGGGGTACCGATCGATGATGTCATAGGGGGTTCTCATGTATTTGTAGCGGTCCGATTGCATCACGTTTAGAAATAGTCAAACCGGTTTCAACCGGTAATGAAAACAACAACGAGAAGACGATATATGTACAACATTCTTTCCACAAGACGTGGGTCCCGATACATTTGCAGTGAAGGGGTGTTTAAAAACGAAATCCTGCTGGTGGTGGTGGTGGTGCTGCTGCTGCTGGGTACATACAGCATGTAGGATGGTTACTGCTGCTGCTGCTGCTTCGTGACTCCATCTCCATGGTAGGACAGCTAGCGCTGCTTGAGTGAATATATCTGGCCACATAGGACAGCCGTCACGAAGCAGCAGCAGCAGCAGCAGTAACCATCCTACATAGACAGCAATTTTACTGGACATTTAAATGTTGCTAGATAACAACGTGAAGTTGACCCTCCGGTACGATGTAGAAATGACAGAAACGTTTTAATTTAGTGAAATTCAACAACTTTTGATCTCATCTCAATATCAGAGAACTACTCTCAGACAGTTGAACTGTTAGACTATATGTGAAACCCTCTAAAGATTAATTGAAGCACGAAGACCGATCACTGTCTGGCTTTTTATGATAATGGCGATATGTGGGTGAAGTAAGCTACAGGGACATATAAACGCATGTATGCATTCAATTTAGATGAAAATGAAACCATCGCCAAGACATGTATCTGAAAATGAAGCTGCGTAATGTTATTTCATACCGTAAACAATCCTCGATACCCAGAGGTTACGCTCACTTTCGCTCTCTACACCCCTGGAATATGTCATAGCAAAATTGAAGGCTCAGTGTGCAGCACCTTGTGGATGAGACGAGAAGACTAGTTTGGTCCTTTGATGTACATCAAAAGAATCTCGCGGTCACGTAACGGTAAAAAATGACAGGTTTTGAAGACGAGCGTGGCTCCTTTGTAATCTTCAAAGGACAAGTATATCAGTCTAGTAATTGGTCAGGTGTTTTTTTACCTGACACCAATCAAATAGCTAGCCGCGTGCATGACATATTCCAGGGGTGTAGAGAGCGAAAGTGAGTATAAACCCTTGATATCGAGGCTGACTAAACTTTACATTGTACAACGAAGACGCTTTCTCAAGTTTAGCAATTTTTTTCATAAAGTTACTTCCGTTAAGGCAGAAATTGTGTTTGAGGGAGACTCATGTCAATCTAGTTATTGCATCAAAAATGTACACTTTTTTATTCTACAACAGTTGTGGGATATATTATTTCAACTCATGTAAATCACTCTTATTGGTCCGATGTTAGCGTGAGGGTGGGGAGTGGGGGTCTTAATGTGGGAGGAAACTTCGAGTTCTCGGAGAAATCCCAAATGGTCGGGCAGGTGACCACATACCTTTTCATGTCCGATCTAGTTGTTGTCTCCTATGGTTTGCTGTATTCTCACATTTAAGATTACAGTCAAACCTGTTTTATGTAACTATTGAAAAAAGAAAATAACAAGAGGCACAGATGGCCTGTATCGCTCACCTGAATATTTAAGCAGTCATAGCATAATATTCTCATTAAATACTATATTGCACTACAAATATTTCCCTCCCAAACTTTGTCGGCTCCATCCAGCCAAATATTATTATAAGATAAGGTCATTTTCATTCTCAAACTTTGCGGGCTCTATCTCAGGAAGCCAACAGCCAAATATGAAGATTCTATACCTTTTAGTTCTTCAGATGAAGTCGTTTGAAGTGTTTGTCATATTTGACCGCTGTGACCTTGAACGTAGGTCGAAGTCATTTTTATTCTTAAACTTTGTCGGGCTCTACCACAAGAAGCCATCAGCCAATATGAAGATTCTATACCTTTAAGTTCATCTTCAGAAGTCGTTTGAATAGTGCGACATGTTTGACCCATGTGACCTTGAAAGTAGGTCAAGGTCATTTTCATTCTTGAACTTTGTTGGGCTTTATCCCAGGAAGCCACCAGCCAAGTTTGAAGATTCTATACCTTAAAGTTCTTCTTCAGAAATTCTTTTTCATTCTCAAACTTTGTTGGGATCTATTTTAGGAAGCAACCAGCCAAATTTGAAGATTCTATACATTTCAGTTCTTCAGAAAAAGTCGTTTGAAGTGTTGGACACATTAGCCCCCTGTGACCTTGAAAGTAGGTCAAGGTCATTTTCCTTCTCAAACTTTGTCGTGCTCATACCAACAAAGTTTTCAGTCAAATATCATGGCTCTAAGCCTGTTCGTTCTTCAGGAGAAGTTGTTTAAAGGAAAAATTGACGGAAGACGGCCGGACGCCGCACCATGACATAAGCTCACTTGCCCTTTTGGCAAACTTTCTAAATCGACTGGAATGACAACAACGTACACAAATGTAATAAAATAATTGCTTTATTTGTCTGTGTCTCATAAACATTTTAATAAGTCAAAATCTTACAAGATGTATCTGTTCATATATGTGTAGTGTACTGGATAGCCGGGAACGTTTGAACTCTAGACAGACTTTCTACCAGTTGAGCTACCTGGCCCAGTCATGCTTGTTCTGCTACACCTAAATATTAGTCGTCATATGTGAAAATGCATTCATATTTGGTTTGGCACTACATACATAACAAAGAAGTTGTTTGCATCCACAGGGCAGTCTTTTCATATGTGGTAACTAAATTACTGACTGAACCTTTGTGTGTACTCAATTGTATATCACTTAGAATAAACTTTAAAAAGTCTTTTTACTGACAGCATTATCAAAACAATAATTTTATTTTAATTATAATTAGATACATGTTCTGCCTGAATTTTGTAAACATGCACAGTCGCAACAGCTATAAAAAATTCATAATTGGAAAAAAAATCAATGTTATTCCACCAACCTAATATTTCATTTCAACCAAACATTTAGTACTGTATAAATCTTTCTCACTAACTTCACAGTAAGACGACTCCACATGATTCCAAACACTGGTAGTCAAGTACCCCTACAGACCTAGCAATCTCAAAACCACTAATTCAACACTAAACATGACATTTGACATAAACGTTTCACTTATTACTGTTTTAATCTTTGTCACTAATTTCACAGTAAGACGACTCTGCAAATTCAACATGATTCCAAACGCTGGTAGTCAAGTAACCCTACAGACCTAGCAACCGCTGATTCAACAAAAACATGACATCAAAATGAAATAACATGGTACTTTTTATCACCTCTTATCACAATACACTCTTTTGTCCCTAAAGTAACCTTTTTATCATGACATTTTTTTTTGACACATAAAACAGGCTATTTACAAAGGACAGGTCATTAGGGCCACTAAAACGCCAAAAAAAACATGTTAAAAGAATTAACATAAAACAAAGGGCCTTCAAATATAACATCATTGACTAAAACCAGAAAATAAACTTTGAAACATTTTCTAGAATGTATCTCACATAAAAAAACATGGTATATTTCTTAATTTGGGTTTAAAGTTTGTTTTTTATAGTTTGAACACGCTGTCCAATTCAGTGCTTTCCAATCCATGCTACTTTTTTCTTTCTTGTACAAAGCTTAAGGGCTCCACATAAACACAATGTCAGTGGTTGGTAATGTAGTGCCTTTGTTTATTATCTCATTCACCCCTGAAATATCAAAATGAACTATTCCAACCTTAGAATTGGAAGAGTTCAAATGTGTCTTCAGGGATGAATGAGTTAAAACCATCACACAGCAACAACCAATCATATTCACTTCTCAATTGAATATCATAGGCATCGACTCATCTCTTCTGACCAATCCCACACATTAGCTCGTTTCAACTGACAAATCACAGACAAATGATAAAAAATTCTTACACATTGCTGCAAAACTTCTGTTTTATTTGTTTAACAGCAAACACAGTTATCATTAAAAATAGAAGAATGTCTACATCATGGAACAACTTGGTAATATCTAAGAACTTGTGAACACTAGCAGCGACAAGAGAGTTACTATCCAAACTCTAGACTAAATCCATATCTTTGTTGTATACCACTTACATAACAGACTCGTAAACAAATTGATGAGTGAGTCTTGAAATAAGGCTACAGAACTTGATATTTCATAAACATTATGCCAATAGAAATTTGAAAAAAAATTAAAGCTTAATTGGAAAGTCTCTTCTAGCATAAAAATTAAATGGTTGCTTTGTTATTTTAACTTTTCAACCAACTGAATACTGTTATAATGTAAGTAGAAACTATCACGATGTAGAAATACTCATGTTTTTTACATGAATTTAGCATGAATTTATCCACACCCAATATATACATTCATATATATACAGTCTATAATAACAGGGTTAGACACCAACTTGTAGTTCAGCGGACTAGAACTAGTTGGGTAGATTATTTGTTAAATTATCAATGTAACTTGTCCAAAATTTCCTTAAGAAAACATTTCCAGCGCAAATCATTAAAGGTATTTAACTGTAGGTGATATAAAATAGCTACCGCCAAGAATATATAATGAAGTTTAAGAAAGAAAAAAAATTGGCATGCAGTTTACATGTAATTTAAGCAGCTTTCTAAATGGAATATTCTTATTCTATAATGTATCTGTCAATAGATATCGAGATAACATGTTTGTTCACAAGCCAAAGGACCAGTTAGATTAGGAGAATCACTATAGTCATTGCTGAAATTTACTAGTCTCTGATAAGAGGACTGTGTCAGTGTCGAACCCTGTTATATGTATTAAGATTTCTAGAACAATTGCCAACGTTAAAATTTCCACACCACCATCTGATTGAAGAGTTATGTGAACATATAGTCCTGGGTCCAGTTTTACTGTAAAAGTGCAAATTCTCACGTTTGGAATAACATTTTAAGTTTGTAGGAATTAAACCAACTCATTTTTCAAAAGCAATGGAATGAAGTATTAACTCATTGAAGGTTTTTAAAACAATTTCATACAATGTATGACTATTCTATGACAATCTTGACACAAACACAACGATAACATGTCAGTGGTGGGTTGCTATGGATATTAGTATGCTGACTTCAGTAATCAGTTCGTCGTCATAGAAATGCAGCTTTGAATCTCGATTTGTTAGCATCATCACCTCCATGACATAAAAGATGCATGGATTCGTGAAGCTTTCAAGCCTGGGATTAACCCTTTTCTCATCCTTCAAATGTTCCTGTCCTCAATGTCTGCTTTTCCTCCTCTTCCTTCTTCGTTTAGAGTGTTTAGAGGACTTCTTCTTGTGGTGGTCAGAGTCTGACTCAGAGTCTGATGTGGAAGAGGAGGAAGATGACGATGAAGATGAGCTGGAGGAGGACGATGATGATGATGAGGAAGAAGATGAACTGCTGGAGTCTGAATCGCTGTCAGATGAAGACGATGAGGAGGAGGAGGAACTGTCACTTCCTGAATCACTGCTGCTCGAGTCAGAGGAGGAGTCTGTTTCTGACCTGTCAATCACAATTATCCAGGGTTACAAATAAAACAAGTTATCAGACCGATAAACAACTTATATTCATGAATTAAAATACATCATTTCTGATTTGCAATCACAAATACCCATGACTGCTTTTACAAATATTGATAATATCAAATCGAGCTAGTTTATTTTCAACTATCGAATCTATGAGATTCAATGAAAAGGATGTATAAGTTTGCAAATGAATGCATAATATTTGCATAATAATGTTTTATTAACATAACATAGAAAATCTGTTTTCTTTACCTTTGCACATGATTTGATATGGGTACTAGTACTCGAGGCAGAGTTGTATGCATTGCAAAGCAATGTGTAGAATTGTAATCTATCCTACTATGATACAAGATTATATGTTGTTTTTTTCCATAATATCTGCATATTTAAGTTTTGATGTTTACATCTCTCTTTAAATGAATAACACCTATTTAACACCTAGAAATGCTTTAATATTTACTTCTTTTTCTGTTTCTTCTTTTTCTTCTCCTGAATGCTGCTCGCCTTGGCTCTGGAATTGGAGACAATTGTAATTAATGTTAATTTAGGATACAAGCAACAATTACTAAGAACCTGCATACACATTGGTAGTTCTTAACTCCTTTTTCCTGGTTAATATTAATGGTTCTTAATTAAAATTTTCAGTTTTACATTGATGGTTCTGAAGTTCTATATCCAGTTTTCAAGTCATCACTAAAATTCTATTTTTTTGCAAGAGTTTTATTTTTGTGATTTTTATTTTTCATTGAACCATGACTATGAACAGTCCAATTCAACATTATGATTCAAACAAACAAATAATTTGACCTTTGATCCCTAGTCATGACCCTGACCTTAAGGGTATACCAAAGTGCTCTCTCTAATAGCGATATACATATATGTGAATGCTCACATAAGAAATTCAGCCAATATTAAAAGATATGACCTGGACAAGGATTACAATGATTTGACCTCAGCTACTTGTTCTGACTTCAATCATTTAGGGTACATATATGAGGGCCTTAGTCTAAAGATGGCACACTTCAAAATATCTTACTATGAGGTTGAGATTTCTTATATTTTTCTACCTCACACAGGACTGATACTAGGTTCTATTTATCTCAAGGTATCTTGTTATGGTCTGAACAAGAAATACCCGACGTGACCTTACCATTGACCCCTTGACCATTAATGGTATCCATAGGTTAAGGACCAAAGTGAAGAATGAAACACCGTCTAGTATTGATAAACACAGCTTTGAAGTTTACTAGTTCCTGGATTCCAGACATACCAGACATACAATTATTTATACATAAAAGCAGGCATTTCCTTTGAGAGACAAGCAAATTTAAGTTCTTGTGAATGAGAACAACGAGGTGAGCTACACCCAACTCACCAGTGTGTGTATGTATGTGTGTGTGAAATATACAGTGTTCTCTGAGAGCTTTATTTAATGTCCATTTCTACCTCTTATAATGATATCTCACACATCACCAGGAATGTGAAGCATATCTCCCTCTGTAATGGAAAAAAAAGTTGGTGGTACTTAGCTTGTGAAGGTAGATCATTTACATCAATGTGTAACAGCAACATATACTTAATTTACAGCCACATGAAAACCCATAGCATAATTCATTTCCTATAGCTGTAGGTTGTTGACAGTTATATAAAGCTTGCAATGAAATGTGAACAATTTCTCTTTATACACATGTGCTGAGCTTGCATTTCTATATTTACCAAGATCACAATCATTATCATTACATACATATATACAGGTTTTATTACAAAGGAGTTATGTAGTTGATGTTTCTTAACTTGATTTTCCAGCTTTTACTAGATCAGTATCACTATCTTAACAAACATAAATAAACAGGTTCTGTAACATAGAGGTTGTATTGACGATGGTTCTTAGCTTGCTTTCCCAGCTTTAATGAGATCACTGTCACTATCGCAACACTAACACACAACAGACTCCATTACATTTATCTACATGTTGTGTCTAAACATCTTCACACATTGCAAGAAAATCAATACATCCACAAAGATTTTAATTTAACTGAGTCAAGAGCATGATCTTCAGCTCTAGATTGAAGTTCTAACTTCTAAGACTCTATAAAAATCATGACCTTACATTTGTATTAAAGTGTTGACAATATAAGAGGGTGTATTCTGTAAGGATAGAAAACATAACAGTGATTGCTTGTCCAGATGATGACAATGTAAAACAATGAATATCCCCATACTGGAACAATAGAGTAACATTTGAAACACATTAAACTTTGATTTTTTTTATGTATTTAAAACTCCCAAGCAAGCATTTTGAGACTGAATCCTTTTGGTTTGGTTTGTTTGTGTTTTACGTCCTATTAACAGCTATGGTCATTTAGGACGTGGAAGGTTTTGGTGGTGGGGAAAGCAGGAGTTCCCGGAGAAAAACCACCGACCAACAGCCAGTACCTGGCGACTGCCCCACGTAGGTCTCGAACCCGCGACCCAGTGGTGGAGGGCTTGTTGTACATGTAGAAGAATGTTAAACGCCTTAACCACTTGGCCACCGCGGCCCCAGACTGAATCCATCTCATTAAACAAATGACAAAAGCAGAGGTAAAATAATCCTGTCTCATATTTTACAAGTAACTCAAACTCTGTATTCAGTTTGTGATTTGAATTAACATGGTAATCCTCCACCTCTGGACAAAGTTCTGTATCCGAAATAACAAAGGGACATAACTCTGTATATAGCAGACAAAGAGACCTGATTATAAGTATTTGACACATGCACACCACCCTCGAAAGAGGTATTCGTAATCTGTCTTGATTGAAGTGGTGGAATCAAAGAGCCATAACTCTGTTAAAAAAAGGAACTAGATCCTTATTCAGGAGGTTACACTCTACTCAACCAACAAAAGAGATACTCGCAAACAAAATTTGGCAATTGTGGGTGACAAAGTATATCAAACATTCCCTGGACAAAGTAAATCACAGACCTATGGATGGATCGAAAACCTTAAGTCCTCTCCACTAGCACAATCAGGGGACAATAACCAAGAATTATTTCAATAGTTTTGGATAATATTCTATTTTTGAAAAAAAAATCTTTTCATGCGAATATTTTAGAGGCCTTACCAAAAATACGAATTTGTTATTGGGTTTTATCCTGATTTTTCAAACATGGACGTGATTATACTTTTCTTAAGTGTATATTCTTATGTAAAAATCTCACTATCAATGAAATCCCTTGTTTTTTAGTTAAACGCACATTGATATTGCAGTGTCGTTATATTTTTAAGATAATTACCAAGCACAAGACATTGATGTAATTATTCTACAGGTACAGGAACCCACTGTTTATTTTGCCATAACTATAAGCAACCATGTAAAACCATCAAGGAGAACAATACTACAGAGAGTAAACTATGAAAGTGTACTGTAAATTTGCGCGTATAGTGTGCACGGCTTTTGGTTTTGTCTTTGGCAATACAAAATAATTTTGATATGCTTGGCTGGATCTAACAACTACAACTGGTAGTGAAAAAAGTAGTTCTGTTTACAGATTATGTTACACATATTAACACACATGAAATGTGAATAGAATGACCAATCAAAACCCTAATGTATACCAAGTTTCAAAGAGATCGGTCGAAAAATGTAGGAGGAAATCCCCGGACAAAATTCAAATACTTAAATGAACAAAGAACAATAACTTTTGGAAAAATCGTTGAATCAAAATTCTTTTAAGGGAAACACAACTTCATATCATGATTATAATGTATACCAAGTTTCAAATAGATCAGTCGAAAAATGTAGGAGGAGATTGCCGGACAAACAAAGTTTACGCCGGCCGGCCAGCCAACGCCATACCATAATACTCCCATCAAATTTGACGGGCATATAAAAACAATGACCTGTGGATAATACCTGGCTACTATAGATTGTAGTGTTCACAAACAGGTTGCTGATCACAATCTATGAAATAATTAAGCATATCTATGGAATCATCTAACTAGGATATTATCAAAGACAAGTTTGCCATATACAACATTTAAAAAATAATTAAAAGACAGGTCAGTCTCTCCAGTTTGTCTGATTTTTTTCTTTTTTCTTTCTATTTTCAAAGTTACTAGTAGCTGTTCAGTTGGAATACTATTGCTGTGACTATATATATATATATATACATGTATGCAGGAAACACAAATATAGTTAGTCTGGCCGTAACTGTGATGCTAAATATAGCAGAAATCAATAAAGCGCCATTTGAAATAAGAAAAGAACAAGTCGACACTCAATCAGTCTTTAAAGAATCTTATTTTTTTGTCTTGAGATATTCTGTTCTTTATCACATTTTAAAACCGAGCTTAACAGGATGTTCACACATTTAGAAATGACATCTTCTATGGTATGCAGAGCTAATTTGTGGTAAATTTCATGGCTATAATTAATACCTAATGGATAACTCTGAACTGCTCTGACCCACGAGTTATACATAATTAAATCAGACATGAGTCTCCAGCTCTTTGTTTTTTAACTTTAAAGTTAAATCCTCTTTTTTACTTTTTTATTGGTTAGTCATAAGCGTGTTACATTGGAAACAATGGGACCACTTATGAATATTTATGAATGTGCATGCAGACATTCTCAAGGCTGACTTCAATATTGAAAATCACACCTAATAATTAACTAAAGCTAGTCCCAATTTCGAGTATGATTGATTATTTCATTGCCATGACGATAAAAATTACATAATCGCCGATCCGAAAATAGACATCATTGAAACATAATTTACATTTAACATACAAAATCATCAGCTCCCCAATGAAGTTGATTATTGGTAAAGTTTACAAGTCTTGCAGCCATCTTAATGCAATTACTTTTAACATCACGCTACCACAATTGGTACAATTTTGACAGTTTTTTAGTGATCTTTAAAAATTCAGATCTTGTATCTGGAATGTTTCTTGATTCTTGACAAAGACTACCTATGGTGGTTCATTTTCAGGAAAAGATTTATATCTAAGTAATTTATTTTTGAAAATAGAACGCTAAACTCAGAGTGAGATTTCGGCCGTTTTTCGGCCGTAAATAGTACCCAAATTGGTACACCATATCACAGGCTATGGAAATTGTTTTTATTTCTACAAGTTGATGTGCCGATTACAACAAAATATGTTGCTTTTATAGATACCATACTGAACTATAATTGTATATATTCACTTTTATATTATCCGAATATAAGGACCAGAAATCAACATTTAAACGTGCTTATATTTAACCCCTTGAAAATCCTCCAAAATTTCGTCGACGTACGTCGTTTTTACTGGTTTTCTGATAGGTTTACTTTGAACTCATCGTGTACTTTTTAAATGTTCCTGAAAACAAAACTATTCGGCAGAAATGCTGATAAATATCTATTTTGATATACTGTCAAAGGAAAATGCCCAAATTTAATTTTAAAGTACTATTTGAACAATTTTCTGACCGTGTACCAATTTGGGTAGTGTACCAATTGTGGTAGCGTGACGTTAATGTTTGAGTTACAACATGTGATGTAACACGATCAATAATGTAAGGGGAGATAATAGTCATCATAGGTTTTTTTTGTCTTGTTGATCTTTTTATGTCTATACATGAATATCTAAAACAATTTTAAAGTCAACTTAATATATAAATTATTGTTCCAAATTAATTTCAGATTTCTGGATATTTAATTATGTTTTTTCTCAAGGTTCTGTATCCCCAGATCCTTTGTTGCATAGGCAATTATTCAAATAGAGGGGTACAACCAAACCTTTTGGGGTAAAACCTGTATTTTAATTTGTTTTCCTGTATTTTATGTAAATATATCTATGCATCAAATAAATAAAACAAATTTAAAAAATATTATTCAAGAATATTAATAAGATATTAATAACAATTAATAATATTCAACGAATAGAAATTAATAATATTCAACGAATAGAAATTAATAATATTCATGAATAGAAATTGATAATATTCATGAATAGAAATTAATAATATTCATGAATAGAAATTAATATTATTCATAAATATTCAAGCAATCATGGCATAACATTTATTCTCAATAAAAGTAGAGAAGCAATTTGGATGTAAATTAAACCACTCAAACAAACAAACAAAACAAAAAGGATAGCAGGGGTAGGGCCAGTTACTGAGGCCAATCTTCCTGCTAAGCAATTGTATATTGTTAAAGGGCAGGGATCTCAATTCTTTTATGTTATGCCCCACTGGGACTAAAACCCTTATGGTGAGGGCAGACCCTCAGGCCAATTCTGGTAGCATGATTGTGTTCATCTTTTCATACTCAGTGTCATATAAAACAAGAGGCCCAATGGGCCTGCATCGCTCACCTGGTATTAATCTCACACTTGTAATCTTAAAAGTTGACTAAAATACAGCTACAGGCAGAATATCAGTGTTTGATTCATAAGAACCTATTAAAGATCAAAACATATGATGCCTGTGACCTTGAATGTCGAACAAGGACATTAGGTTGAACAGAGTTTTTATTCTTCCAACCCAGCATGCTTCTGGCAAAATATCATTACCCTGGACCTTTTGGTTATACAGAACAAATCATTTAAAGATTTAAATATCTATTGACCACTGTGACCTTGAATATGGGTGAAGGTCATTCACTTGGTAGTCCTTCATCCCAGCATGTTAATGGCCAAATATCATCACTCTTGGCCTTTTGCTTATTAAGAAGAAGTCATTCAATGGTTTTAAACATATTTGACCCCTGTGACCTTGAATATATATGTCAAGGTCATTCATTTGAACAAACTTGGTAGTCCTTCATCCCAGCATGTTACTGGCATTATATTAGGCCTCTTGGTTATTCAGAAGAAGTTGTTTAAAGGTTAAAAACATATTTGACCCCTGTGACCTTGAAAAAAGATGAAGGTCATTCATTTGAACAAACTTGGTAGCCCTTCATCCCAGCATGTTACTGGCCAAATATCATCATCCTATGCCTCTTGATTATTCAGAAGAAGTTGTATAAAGATTTTAACATATTTGACCCATGTGACCTTGAAAATGGATGAAGGTCATTTATTTGAACAAACTTGGTAGCCCTTCATCCAAGCATGTTACTGGCCAAATATCATCATCCTAGGCCTCTTGGTTATTCAGAAGAAGTTGTTTAAAGGTTTTGAACATATTTGACCCCTGTGACCTTGAATATAAGGCAAGGCCATTTATTTGAACAAACTTGGTAGCCCTTCATTCCAGCATGTTACTGGCCAAATATCATCATCCTAGGCCTCTTGGTTATTCAGAAGAAGTTGTTTAAAGGTTTTGAACATATTTGACCCCTGTGACCTTGAATATAAGGCAAGGTCATTTATTTGAACAAACTTGGTAGCCCTTCATTCCAGCATGTTACTGGCCAAATATCATCATCCTAGGTCTCTTGGTTATTCAGAAGAAGTTGATTAAAGATTTTTACATATTTGACCCCTGTGACCTTGAAAATTGACGAAGGTCATTTATTTGAACAAACTTGGTAGCCCTTCATCCAAGCATGCTTCTGACCAAATATCATCACCCTAGGCCTTTTGGTTACTGAGAAGAAGTTGTTTAAAGTAAAAAGTTGACGCCGGCCGGACGCCGGCCGACGGACGCCGCACCATGCCATAAGCTCACTTGGCCCTTCGGGCCAGGTGAGCTAAAAATTATTCCCCATAAAATAATCATCCGGATGAATATTTTATGCATAAAATACTCATCCCCCCATAAAATATTCATCCTACCTAAATTTTATAAAAACTTTTTACATAAATACAAAAGTTACAACATTATTACATCATGTTACCTGTAGTAAATGATTCAAAGTATTGTGTTAAAGAGAATACTTAAAAACATTTATATTTTAGGAATAATTTTATATTTAAGTCAGTTTAGGTGGTGCATGGTGTAGGTATCTCAAGTAAGTAGAGCACATGTTAATTGAATCAAGCTATGGTAGAGGGTAAACTGAGGTCTTTTATGGGATGAAAACATATCTTATGACTAAGAAAACATAGGTACATTACAGGGCTAGATAGATTTTTTTGGGGAGTAAATAGGTATTATGTCGGGGTGGACAGATTTATATGGTGGTAGGTACATGTATGTATTTTATGACTACAGTATACAGAGGCGTGTTACCATCACACTTGACACCCCCTTGACTTAAAAAAAAATAATAGTATACATATACTGCATCTATCGTGTGGCATCCCCAAGCTCTGTTTTATTTGCATATTGTAACCTTTAAGGGCCTAATGTACACATCAACATTTTATGGTTTATAAAATCGTAACAAGCTTACCTGAACTAAGTATGTTTTGACTGGTGATTCTAGTTGTGTATTACACTGCCAAAGCCATCACCCCTTTCCCCTTCAACAGGTTTAAACTTGGGTGTTTAATATAAAGTTGTCACTAATTAATTGATATCACACCCCTGCATTAACTAAATGGGTGAGCAAACCATGACAAAGACTTTTGTACCTGTATGGTCAGTGGTACGTAGTAGCCACAGGACACATGTGTTGCAGTTTTGACTATCACAAAAGTTGTTTTTTTCTCTTTAAAACATTTGCAAGAAGGACAATGAACATCATCACAGTTTTAAGAAAAATTGAAATGAATAAATAACAAAAATTATTGTTACCATATTTTACCGCAAATAAGCCCCTCTCGCAAATAAGCCCCCTCCCAACTTTTGGCCCATCTTTTTTCTCAGGACGGGGGGGGACTTATTTGCGGTAAAATACGTTATATATATATTGATTGTTCATATCACTGGGACATCTTACTAAGAATAACCAAGAGAAAAATGAAAAAAAAATGAAAAAGGCCAAAATTGGTATCTTTCTTTATTTTGTGTAACATGACATGTATCGCAGAATTAACTAAAAATCTGGAATGGTGACAACCAATGAAACAAATTCTGGATCCGCCCCTGGTATAGGGTAGATAGGTATTTTATGACTATAGTATAGGGTGGATGGTTATCTTATGGGGGTGTATAGGTATTTTATGGCTAATCCTGTCATTCCTACAAAAGAAGAAGTATTTTGAAACATTTGCTATGTTTCCCCTATTGGGCTCTACCCCTCTGCCCCAGGGGAGGGTCAGCCCTGTGATTTGTACATTATTGAATCTCAACTTGAACCATTTAATTACGTACATTTTGGTTTAATTTCATTAAGCAGTTCAAAAGAAGAAGTCATTAGAAGAAACTTTTAATGGATAGATAATGGATACAACAGTATGACATAAAATGTACTTGGTCCTTCAAACTTGGTGAGATAATAAATCCATTGATGATTCATTTTAAAAGGTGCTATTTGTCGATGATTATCCACCGACTCTAAATTTGTAATTCAGTATATATATAAATCCCTGCATCTTACCTGTTAATGTTTCAACAATGAAAATACATATCAAATTTTTGTCATTCTTACACTATATCTTTCATTTTTGTGAAATTTCTATATGATTAACAGTTGTAGCAGAGCCTTGTCACCTCATAACTCATTATTGGTTACAATCATAATGGAATCATCGTACTTACAAGGTGTCAATTTTCTGTTTTTCCTCCTCCATCTTCATTCGTTTGGCCAATTCCTTGGTTCTTGAAGGTCGATACACATATTTGCGTTTCCCTGTGCACTCATATGTAAAATGGCCTTTCTGCAGACATTTCTGGCAAGTATAATTCTCCGCAGTAGGTTCCCTGTTGAAAAACGACACACAGATCACTTTAGATAACCCAACAAAATATGCCAGACAGAATCAAACTGGATAACGATTACAACACTGTCATCATTTCCCAGTCACACTTTATTTCCTGTCACAGCTGTTTTCAGCATCGCTCCTGTGGAAAGTCATTTTTTGAAAACGTCTGCTTGTAATTTTATTGCCAGGTAGCGTGTTGCCATGGCACTTTCTATGCAAACTTGGGATAGGGTCGTTGAATACAGATTGCTGCCTTAATTTACGATATATTGTGGGTTGATATACAAATACAGGCTCGCGGTGCACTGAATGTAACAGCAGACACAGCCCACGAAGGTGTATTGATTTCAGCGAAAATCTATAAATCTTTGACCCAATAAAAATGTTTTAAACTGTTCATTATTCTGCAGTAAAAATATATTATATGCACAGTCAATCCCTTTGAAACCATCCAAATGAAGACATCTTTTCCGGCTGTCCATAATTTTTTTTAAAAAAAACACAGAAATCCAATTACTTTCCACTATATGTCAATTATTTCTCTGGTCTTAATCAAAAGAATGGTTATTCAAACATTCTATTGTAACATTGTACAGAATTAACGACGTAAAAAGCTGCTAACCTCTAGGACCGTACTGAAATAGACTGATCCCTAACACCCAGACAAGTCAGGACCCCACAGATCTCACATGATCAATATCTAGCTCTTTGATTGACCGACTGAAACAGTGCAATGTATCGCAACCAAAGCCTAACACATTGTTGTGTCTGACGCTGATAATTCACTTCTGCCTGGAAAAATGTCAGCGTCTCACCAGGTAATCAATGAAATGAATTAGTGGAGTTTAACTACACATACCTTGGACCACATTTATAAATCCCATTTCAAGTATCACAGTTTGTTAAGGATCCCTGTACCACTGGTAAAAACTGTAACTACACATTGGAGACTGTGTTTTCCGACATGACTATAGCTTTGATGTATCATTTCTGTAAAAGGAACCATACCCTGGAGGACTTTTATGAAGACTAAATAAATGAAATATAATCAACAACAATGATCTGAGCATAAAAATTCAACGGGCTAGACGGGGATTCAAACCCTGAACTTTAGATTGCTATGCTAACTTTCACTCTTACTGAATTGAGCTACATGACGAACAGACATGCCCTGGCCCAAGTGTGCTATAGTTACATGTATATATCCAAAACAAAATAAAGGTGAGGTTACTGTATTTTCGAAAAAGCCACATAAGGTTCCCTGTCATACTGCAGGCAAAAAACCTAGAGAGTTCTTCTATAGCTTTTGGTACATAGAGTAACCTCCCCTTAACTTTGTTTTGGACATATAACCACAGCACAATAGAGCCAGTGTACTTACTACTCTATACCAGGTAGCTCAGTTAGTTATAGCATTAGTATAATGGATGGAGGTCCAGGGTTCAAATCCGGCTCTTGTCCCATTGCATTTTTACACCCAGAACACTGCTGTAGATTTCTTCTTTTCCTTCATCATTTTTATTTTCTACAAGCATTCAGCAAGGTATGGCATTCTTTTCAGAAATTATTACTCTATATACCGTTATATAGACACGGTTGTTATTCCCTGCTTAACATTCAGCATTTAGGGGAATGGCAACAACTGGTTCACCCCTTGTCAGTATAGTGTGACCAGGCGGAATGCTGTGCTGGGTGCCTTCAGAATGGTATTTCAGTGAGAAAGCACTTTAAAGTTGTCATCAGATCCGCGATATTACAAGGAGGCAAGCACACCAACATACCCTGTCTCCTGCATATACATACCCAAACACACATACACTACATACATGGAGACATGTCTTTAAATGACCTTGGCTGTCAATAGGACGTTAAACAAAATAAAACCAAACCAAACCGCAGGAAAAAAATATTCATATATATGTACAGTTTTTGACAGTGGTATACTGTTTTCATCCCTATTGTATCCTTCAATATTTTGGAAGAAACAAAGATATGATGTTAATTGACAAGGAAGGGGAAATGAAAATGAACTGCAATTATCATTCCCAGTCTCTGCCATACCAACTAAGCTGAGTGGTTTGAATCAACCATAGCTGAAGCACAAAGATTTGATCTGTGCACCTACGTTTCTGTGATACAAAGATGAAACTTGTAGGGATTATATCGGTAAACTGTGTTTAAAACGGAATCTTGGTAAAGCTATCTGCACAGAAAATCAATACTGTTTGATTAAATTCGAAACTCTAAAAGCCCTACAAAATAATTAAATACGAAACTCTACAGCCCTACAAAATAATTAAACAGCCACATGTGCACAGCTCTATTTACAAGCTATAATTTAGAAAATAATTTTACTTTCTCATAAAAAAAAGTTGCCATGATTGAAATGAAATTAGATTAAAGGCTTCAGCCCAGAGTGAGGCTTTGATACATTTGTCTACATATGTACATGTACATATTTATAGAGGACATATTTTAACAACAGGCCCATGGGCCTAAATGGTCACCTTAGTTAATTCTGAAGTACTCAAATTAAATTGGACCTTGTTTCTGGTGGTTTTTTTTTAAATTGGCACAGTTACTTTGGAGAGAGGGCATACACGGTGATACACCCATACTTACTTGGAGACCAGGTATAGATTATGTACAGATGAAGATGAAAATGTCCTAGCCAATAACAGACCAGGGTGGCCATTTGGAATTTCACAATCAACATGAAAAATTACAAACTTGGTTGAAACCTCATAAGGAACACTTCTACTAAGCTAGAAGTCAATGGGTGTAGCATTTCTTGAGAAGTCAAAAACTTCTCAGTCAATTAGAGGTCAGAGTGACCATCTTGGATTTTCTGATTGGCACTTTAAGTAAGAACACTTGTTTGGAACCTCATAAGGAATATTTGTACAACTAAAGAAGTGAAATGCTGCAGATAATCTTGAGAAGTCGAAAATTTCTCGTCTCAGCAAATTAGAGGCCAGGATCGGCCATATTGTATTCTCCAATTGGCAGTAACTCTGCCAGTTAATGTCTGATCGGGCCCATTTGCCAACTTGTTCGAGATCTTATTAATATAAAGCAGCATTACAACAATGATTGAAATCCATTCACATTTACTCAAGTTATTGTGCTCATAAGCTCAAGTCCCATAGACTCCAATAGTAATTAAAATTTCAAAGTCCCATAACTCTGCCAGTTACTGTCTGATTGGGACCACATTCAAACTTGTCCGAGATCTTATTGACATAAAGCAACATAGCAAAATTTATCGAAATCCATTCATTTCTACTTAAGTTATCATGCTCACAAGATAAAAGTTAACGCACGACGTCAACCATCCCCTATAAACTGAAAGGGGACTAGATCTATAAAATCAACAAAATAAATATATCTACAATAAAATATATTGGCTAGTGTTAAAATATTGTCAACATAACTAGGTTTACTTTTTAAGATTAACATTTTCCCTCTTTAAATGAGGTTTTGATCCTCAGCCGACTCCTCTGATTACCTGCACACACATCTTGTTTTATTTGATTGAACAATGAGTCCCATTGTCTAGAGATCATTACATTAAAATCACTTCTTTTGTACAGAACTGGAGAATTCTCACTTTCTTTTTCACACATCAAATTCCAAATAAAATCCCTTACCTTGTAATGTACCATTTTCCCCTATTGGGCCCCACAATTCATTTATGCAATATTAAGGATCACCGTAACACTGCAAAATAGCTGTATCGAAGTATAGGCCAAAGGTCAAGTCATAGCTCACAGCGACCTTATTCTTGCATTCCGCCAGCCCAAGATGTCCTTGTACACCAAATCTGGTTACTCCAGGTGAAATAGTATTGAAAATATGCCACAGACAAAGTGACCTTCTAAAGAACTTGCACTCTGCACTCCGCCATCCCAAGATGTCCTGGTTACTCCAGGTAAAATAGTACAGAAGACATATCCCCAGACAAACTTTTAAAAAAGTTGACGTCAAAGGTCAAATCATAGGTCACAGTGACCTAATTCTTGCACTCTGCCATCTCCCAAGATGTCATTGTACACTAAATCTGGTTACTCCAAATAAAAAAGTATAGAAGATAATGTCTGAGACAAACTTCTTGGACAGACGGACAAATGGAAGGAAGGACGGATGGATGACAGCCCTTGGACTATAGGTTTGCACTCCATCCTTCTGTCATCCTTATACACTGTACAAACTGTTTTATGTGTTCTAGGGGAGACAACTCAATGACATTTAAGTGACTCCGGTATCATGGCGGTATGTCATTTTCATTTGTGGATTTCCGATTTAAAAACCTTGTTGACTATTGGTTAGTCAGGCCACTAACCTGTAACTGATTATATTAACAGCTCTAAAATTCATGACCGCACTTAGTTGAAATAATTGTGCATACAGATAATCATATTATGTGTTTTCAGAAGAGTGATTCATGATTTATATTAATGCCTACACTTATATATGTATCTTCCTTCCAGGTACTAGCACTAAACAACAGAAATCTTCTGATATCTGTTCCAGGTTTTTTTCAGCATAGCCACTCATATATACCTTCACTTTCAAGTCCGCTCCTAGCTTAGGACTATAGATTACAGATTCAGTCATTTAAAGGAGGCAGTTTTTACATTCCAGTCTAGATTTTATTTGCATATATATATGTGATTTAAAACAGTTATTAATCAATAATCGGTTAGTTAAGAGTAATCTAAGATCAATTATAAAACTCAAACTGATTCCTAAAACTAATTTTCAGAATTTTGCTGTTCATTACTGGTAATATTTGTTTGTTTGTTTGATTTTGTTTAACGTCCTATTAACAGCTAAGGTCATTTAAAGACGGCCTTCCCCTGTGTGCAAGATGCATGCGTGTAGTGTATGTGTGTGTATTTTGGGAGGCTGCGATATGTTTGTGTTTAAATATAGATGTAGTACAGAGTATGTTATACAGGATTAACTTTATTAAAATTCAATTTACTTCATATAAAAAAAATAAAAAAATATCACTGATCATAAATATAATTGGTTTTACAAAGCACAAGGCTAATAATGCAGTTGAAAATTTAGGGTAGGTTACAAATGTTTTTATTTGAAAATAATTCTATTTGATTTTTATTGGAGAGTGACCTTTGAAAATTACTTAATAAAGTTTAAGGGGATAGGCACAAAAAGTTAGGCAGGTAACTCGGGTTACTGGAAATACAAAATACTGTAGTTTTGGTTGGCCTAATGTGTTGTTTCTTATTTCAATAGTTATCATATGTGATATTTTCATCTACAAATATGCCAGGCTAAAAATAAAGAACCTTTGATATCCAAACTTTAGGAAGAAATTCTTAAACAGTTTTTTTTTATTATAACAATTTTTTGTTTGTTCTGCAAGGGGTTTTAGTTTTTAAAGCTGTGAAACAGAAAAGTCAGAAGTATGCTTCAATCATGGGATCAAACCAGCGAATCCAGCTTTCTATTGCACTCCTCCAACAACTGAGCTCAAATAAATCTACATATAGTGCAAAGGAAGAATCATATACATGTACAAATTAAAACCTGTCATTTTCAAACGTGTTTGCCATTGAACATCACTATGACCTATAGATTCTAACTCCCTGTCACCACAGCCCCAGTCACCATTTGTAACAGAAAGTAGTGTAGCTCTACCAGGAAACATAGCATCATCACAATATAACAAATACTGTTGATTTCTTAAATATCTTCTGCCATCATAAATTCACTTCAACTTGGGTTAGGCACTGAATGGAACAGCTCCTCAGTACCTACAGGAGCTTGTTATCCTGTATCAGCCATCACGATCACTGCGGTCGGAGTCGGAATCTTTGTTGTGTGTTCCAAAAACTTGTACTGTGACCTACGGAAACAGATGCTTTGGGAGGGTTTCGGCTACGTTGTGGAATAGCTTACCATCTGCTATTAGAAAGTCAAATACCATGGCCAAGTTCAAGAGGGACATCAAAACTCACCTCTTCACGTCTGCATTTTAGAATCTTTGCAAAGACGTCATGTAAATATACCACCCACTTATTTGTTCAATTATGTGCACATTGCTTGCCTAAATTTATAAAAGTGATTGTGAGCCTATGTTTTTTGTTTTCACAATTATAACCATTACTAGACTATTATTCATATGTTGTAAAGTGCTTTAGAGCTTTATTACAAATTATATAGGGCGCTATATAAATGTTGTATATTATTATTATTATTATTAGGCAACAAAGGAATAAACCTGCTGCCATGATGAAAAGGCAACTAGTGTGGGGGTCCCCTGCAGAATCGGGAGTTTCTAAGTCTTCCTGCCATGGTAAGGGGACACTGAAGAAACTTATTGATCTGCTAACTCCATTGCAACATTTGTGATCGACATTTCTTTTCTCTGACATTTTTTCTACCCTTTCTTTTTGCAATAAAAATTGTTACAGAATATGTCTTGTTTATTGTAAGATTTTCACAATACAGCCAGATATGCTGGTCTTCCAATACTAGATATTATCATACCTCATTACTATAACAGCGAATATCATCACCATATGTGTCTGTAAGCTCAGGGGCACTTTGTGCCAGGTGAGCTAAGAATGTGCAAGAGAAAATACACCTGAGTATTGAATGATTGAAGAAGATAACAATAATGGTGTGCCAACTTGCTTATATTTGATGTTGTGTTATTGATTTATGTCAGTATTATTATTATTAATGATTCTTTGTTTCCCCTCGATGAATCATGTGAAATGTAAAGAATTAAATAAGTTTTATCCAAGACTGCCAAACTACATAAACATCAATAAAATATAATAACCTTAGTTTACTGAATATTATCTCGAAAACATCATCAGGCAGATATGCATTCAAACTTTCTGATTTACTGCCTGTTTACCACAATCGGGCGCATCTAATTACCCAATACTACCCAATACCACCCAATACTACCCAATACTACCCCATACGTTCCAGTTATGAACCAAATACTTCTTTATTACTGTGAAATATCACCTTTGTAGACGTTATTTACTTCCATCTGCCATATTTTATCGGGAAATCTGGGATTTGGTGCCGAAAACATCACCGAATTGCCGTGACTATGACCCCATATATATACCACCCAACACTACCCCATACGACCCAGTTATGAACCAAATACTTCTTTATTACTGTGAAATATCACCTTTGTAGACGTTATTGATACTATTGGGTCATAGTCACGGCAATTCGGTGATGTTTTCGGCACCAAATCGCATATTTCCCGATAAAATATGGCAGATGGAAGTAAATAACGTCTACAACGGTGATATTTCACAGTAATAGAGAAGTATTTGGTTCATAACTGGGTCGTATGGGGTAGTATTGGGTAATTAGACGCGCCGCTACAATCTGCTAAATTGACAGATTTATTGGATTGTTGCTGAAAGTGCAGTATGATAGGTTATGTCTGTTACACTCGTCAAACTAACTGATACCAGATACTATTCGAGACAAAATACACTGCGCTTAACTCAATAAACAGTACAAGTAGAGACAATGACTTACTTTTTCTTGAAGAAGGGATGTCGAACAGCGAACGACGATTCCATCACGTTGGTGTTGTTTATCCTTTATCGGTGATCACTGAAAAACGTACCCTATATAAAATACACTGAAAATAAAATGTATGAAATTGAATTAACGACCGCCAATAATCTCTATTTTAATTGATAATCATTATCAATAACAATAAACAAACGAAAGTAACTGGTTTTACTGACACAAAATAGCTTGTTATAGATTGGTTTGCTTGTATTAGAGACAAACATTACGATGGTATTATTGGAAAACACGCACCGCTTCAGAAGGTGTTCGCTCCGCAGCACTTAAACGCTTATGCTGAAGGGATTCTCTCGCACAAATTGGGATGAATAAATAGAGCGTCTATACAACGTCGATGCGATGAGTCAGTCCTGAGGTGGATATTGTAATATCTTGAGATTGTCAAGTGTCTCTCTTCACTTTGTGTTTACATGCTGTAACTTACAGTAAATATATGTATTTTTCTTTCATTTGAAAACACTGATGAGGATAAAATGAATTTTCTAAATTACTGCTGTCAGCAGCAGAAGAGAAAGGAGAGGCGACGATACCTTCAGCAGGTTGATGAACCGATGATACCTGCGTCAGAATCTCCAAAAGTGACACCAGTTTTGGATCATTCGGTTATTAGATCATCGTCGACGTCAGATAGCATAAATAGTGCGTACATAACCATGATATCAGGTCAGTGTGGAACTCCTCATCAAGACATGATGTTTGCAGTTCTACACAACGACAAAATCGGTCTCCAGAGGCTGATTGAAAAGGAGGAAGCAATCAACTCGTGGACCGAAATTTTCCAATTTGTTAATCATAGTCAAAGAACAATTACTCCTATGGAATTAGCCTGTATGCTTGGTTATATAGATTTAGTACAGCTTTTCCTGGACAATGGTTGTAGTCCAAATCTCCCTACCACAGCAGGGAGACTTATCCATACAATTATGGATACATTGAAGTCTGGTAAAATGGACTTGAAAGAAGGACAATCATTGGTGAAGAGATTATGTACTGAAGGTTGTAATGTGAATATTATTGGTCAAAATCACAAGACGCCAATTCTTTTGGCCGCAGAACTTGGCAATGTGGAGATAATGAAGACACTTTTGTCAGTTGTTGACCCAGCAGTATTACACCATGGAGATGTTCCTAACGGATTCACCCCTCTACACATGTCTGCCATGAGAGGGGACTTGGACTGTGTTCTCGTAATGCTTAAGTACTGTACCCCTCGTACTGTGAACAGCACTGACTGTAAAGGTTACACACCCGTGAAGCTGGCACTGGTCTCTATGTATAAGAATGTCACATATATGAATAACCTCATCAAAGTCTCAAAGAATGGAACCAATGAATCTTCACAGCTACAACAGTTGAGACAGTTACAATATCAGTCAGTGGCAATCATTGAAGCACTTCTTCTGCATGGTGCTGAAATAAATAATCAGTCGGAATGTTACAGGAACACATTGCTGTACCAGGCCCTGGAACTTGTCTGTAAGGACGAGACATGTGAGAAATTCAGACATGACAAATATAGCCACACAATGCAGTTGATTGCTTCAACAAAATTACAAGATCTCAACCATGCCATTGTAGGAAATGATTCTGAAGATAACAACAAACAGAAAACTGTGACAGCATCACCATATTCTGGAATTGTTCGTCTGTTTGTTCTGTATGGAGCAGATCCAATTCAAAGCAAGGATGTTTGGCAACTGAGTTTTGTGATGAGAGACCGAACAGAAGTGCAGCAACTCATCGATGAGGTTTTTTATTTCTGGGAGAACAATGTAAATGATGGACCTCCGAAGTTAATTCAACTAAGCAAACAAGTTATAAGGACAGTTTTAGCGAGATGCCAAACCCTTCACAGAATGGATGACCTCCCCCTTCCTCCGTCCCTCAATGCATTCATCAAACTTCAGTGTCTCTGAACGAGTGCAATCAATCAAATCTGAATGCATACAGTTAATGCAAATTTTCCTACAATGTTATTATATTGATCTGATCCACAAAAGCCATTTGCTTGCCTGCCTATTGACTAAAATGTCCAAAGTTTTAATAAAATCTCCTTTTCGATGATCATCACCAAATATCTTACTGCAGTTATTTAAAGTTGTCCCTTTGCATGTTTTAATTTAGATTCATGAATTGATGTTTACTTTAATGAGAAAATTATTTTAACGCATTTAAAAAAAATGTCAACAAAAAGAAAATTTAACAAGTTGTTTCTTTTTAATGTTGGTATTATTCAAAGAAACCTTTTTGTTAAAATTATTGTGATGAAAATATTTGATTGAAACTGAAAGACATGTTTTTTGCCTGTTCCCACTGTATAGTTTCAATGTAACAAACAAAATGAGACATGACAGTATTACCTGCAGCAACTTCAAAATTTGAAGTCAATAGGCTAGACTACATAAAATATTAATCAGATCAATTATGTTTTTAAACCTTTGTCAACTTTCATTCACTGAACCTTATTGAATGTTAAATGAGCTGAATGGAAAAGAAGATATTTTTTCTATGAAATTTGCTAATTATTTGCAAATTAGCCTCTTTATTTGATGGAAAGTTGGTTAATTAATATATGGTAGCTATATGTATATTTTATTTGCAGTTTTGGATGTTGTTACTGGATATTTATGTTAAGGATGCATGCTATGCATACCTATAACTGTTTCATGAATCTCTTTCCAAGAAGAGTTCCACACACATAAGAAACTTATGAGAATGCTATTTGATAGTGACTTAGTTAATTAATGAAAAATACACAAGCATAGAGTTATTAGTTAATTAAGCACTAAATAAAGTGGATTTTTTGAAGGGAAATAACTCTGATGTGAAAATTGAGAGATCTACAAAGAAATAAGTTTTTCAGTAACTTCTATTTGAAAAAAAAAAACAATTGGCAAAATTTTGTAAAATTGCATGAGATATTAATAAGAAAATACGGGTTTGAACAAGCAAAAATCAGAAGTGAACCAGTCATTATGGAATGCAGCCTGTTCTTCATGAAAATCCTGCAGTATTACAAAAAGTGCTGAAGGGAGTTAATTCTTACAGAAAACAATTGTGTTTGTGTAATAAAATGCCTATGAGAACAAAAATAACCCTAAAACATGACAAAATCTTTATGTGTTTCCAGCGTTTAATGCATTATATTCTTAAAATTATTTGAAGATTTAGTGATGTGAATAACCATATTTTAATTTCATTTTATGTTAAAATACTCATTATTTTGATGTGTCACAACTTACCTCCCCTTACCAAAATGCTATCTATCGACCTATACTTGGTAACCTACATATGTACTGAATTTATTAAATCTATTCAATGCTGCCATCATTTATCCTAATATACCTAAAATCAATCAAGAAACTATACAGAATACCCATCTAAAATATAAACTACAATTTGATATTCAAACATATACATATTAAACAATGTTGATTTTTTTATTAAATGTCTTTGCATATACAGTGTAATTAAAATACACCTGTAAAGCGAAGTAACCTATTACTATCTTTTAACCTAGAAACCCCCAAATATACAATTGCCTTTCAGGATTCCAAAGTGATAAACATGTTTCATTTGCTTCCATTTCCACTTTAAAATTTCCTTTTAGATATTTACTTTTTTTAAAGAAAAGGAGAATCCCAGTGCATCATAATCAATTTTTTTCTTCTAAATATTTTTTAGATTTTGAATTTTATTTTTCAATACTACAAAATAATAAAGTAACTAGTTAGGTATACTGTTAGCTTGAGTTTCCTCAGGCCCTGCCACCAGACCTGGACATTGAAACTAGACATCTATCTGTCAAAATGTCTAAGGCTGGTGTCAGGGGCAGAGGAAACTCAGACTAAGGTACTGTTTTCAACATAAATATAAAATAAAAGCCCTTGGCATTTATCAATTTTTCAAAATTTGTATGATTGCAATATTGATCCTTTACAATTTTGCCAAAGATCAACAAAGCATTGTAAAATACTTGACACATTTTTCAAGTAAGTCAGTAAATTCTGAAGAACGGATATTAAGCACTAGGACCAGAAGTAGAATATTATTGTCTTTCTTTCTTTCATGTTGTTGCATGTAGATATTGTTCCTGAGCAAGAAATATGCAAATTTGTGTAAATTCAAATGCAGCTAAATAGTTAAGGCATTTTAACTAATACATATATTAGTATTCCTGAAAATATGTTTGAACTACACAAATCTGAAACCTCCGCTCATTTGTACATAAGATGAACAGTTACTATACCACAAAACTGAACTAACCTAGGGATCCCTGTACCACTGCCAAAAGCTGTAATTATACGCATAGGAAACTGTTTTTTAGGCAAGACTGTAGCTTTGATAAATCATTTCTGAAAAGAAAACCATACCTTTTGGAACTAATTAAGGTGGAAGAGATCAAAGATAATCAACAATGTTCCGAGTGTAAAAGTTTTACCAGGGGTAGAGCTAGTGCAAATATTAATACCCGGACTATATAAAATCTATCTCGTCGTTAGAAGCGACATTATCACAGCTAGATTAGAGCGAGATCCGAACCCTGAACCCTGAACCACGAACTCTTATAATGTTGCTCTAACTGACTGAGCTACATGTATCTTGTCAATGGAAGTGTCCTGGCCCCACTTAGTAACAGATATATACCGAAAGAAATTAAAGGGAGTTTAATTTTGTATAAACGAAAAACCATAGTGCAGTCGGACAGGGATCCTTAAATTATCAGTTATGTTACATTATGTTTTTGTATAAATGAACAAATGATTTTTGATATGCTTTTCATTGTTAAAGCCTGTAGCCAGTGGCTCAAATGTTCATGACATTTTGAAAAAGGGAGATAATCTGACATTTCTTCCTTCGAAAAGATACTGTATTTAGATGAATATATGTAAGAATTATTTTATGCGTTGTAGTAATTAAATGTTTTTTCCAATTTCCTAATAAATCTTCAAATTATTAAAATAACATGTTCACATATTAGTTTGTTTTGATTTCAAAGTTGCAAATAATGTTGAAATGTTGAGTACACCCGTACGCAATCTCTTTGAGGAATTTAAGTCTTTTCACCAAAGTAACCTTGACATTTGACCTTCAGATTAAATCCTTACATGGAAGCATTTTCATTTTGTTTTGTGAACACATCTTAACAAATTCTCTCAACATTAACTTCAAACACTGTTATTTACAAAAAAGGGAACTCCATTAAAAATTACGTTTCTTTTGCAATTAACTGGAATCTATATATAACATACATTATAAAATCCTCTGGACTTCTCTTAATTTTTCCCCCCAGGAGACCAATTAGACATTAGAAACAGCAATGATTCACACTTCAGCCACTTGTTATGACTTTTGACCTTGGGAATAAAGACCTTCGAATTGTACGTCTGGGACATGTAATTGTTGTGTGCCAAAATCATGCTATAAAGTATCCTCCAAAAATGATCAGAAGTCGGTTACGAGACAGCATCACAATTTTATTATGATGACCCTGACCTTGCGAGTTGTATGGGACACATTATCCTGTTGTGATACAGTATCAAAAAACTTTTGCCCAATAAAATGTTCACCCTTTGGCGATGAAATCTACATTCACTCTGTGTTAATTTCACTGTTTACATGATTAATACATATTGGTATGCGGTTTAATAATACTTGCTGCCAAAATAAAATCACCCTCATTACAAAGTGAGAAAAAAAAATGTTCCACTGAAGTGAAAATTTCCTTGCAAACAGCAGATCTATCTATTGAACTTCATATATAACATTCTAAGAATTTATCACCTGGTTAAGAATTTGGCTTGGGACTCCTAATAGACATGGAAAAAACTGTCATCATAAAATGTGTTAACGTATGGCCTTGCAGCCCACCAACAATCTAAAAAGGTTTGGGCCAAATAACAGTGGTTTCACGGGTAGAGTCTGTGGTTCCACTATTTATGTCTCCTTTACATAAGAGCATGGCACGCCATGAAATGAATAGCACTAAACTTACTGTAATGCCACGTGAAGGTATACGACGCTCACATATTCTTTCCCAGACCACTCTTGTGTGATTGCTCATGTTTCACAAACTATTAACAGCTTTCAACATTTGAGGATGAGCTAGGTGGTGGTGGTGATGGGGGGGGGGGAACTGGAGTGGCTGGAGAAAAGCCACCGTGAGCTGCAGCCAGTACCTGGTGACTGCCCCACACAGGCCTCAAACTCATGACACAGTGGTGGAGGGCCAGTGATCGGAGACAATGCCTAACAAACCAGTCGGCCTTAAGGTAGCTCCACACATCGTCATCAGTGTCCATTTTCATGTCGTACTTTCGGAAAAAGTACAGCTCAGACTCAATTGTCTCCATAAAAATGTGCATGTACACCGTGTCATCATTTCCGTATTGCATATCGGGCATTTTCAATACCGTAGTGTACTGGGAAACAATAGTCCCCAAACTATTGGAATGCTTAGATTTTCATAGTTGCATAACCATTATAATTTATGAAAGTTTCAACGAATTAAGCTGGTTAATTACGAAAGTGTGGAGCCTCCTCAAAAGACCTCTCTAAAGCCGATGAATAACAAAATTTGCTTCTTAACAAAGTCATATCTTTTCTTTTGTGTGTGGCTGTTTTGATTGAAAGTAATTAAATTAAGATATCAATACTTGCCAACTCTGCCTATTCAGGAGAGAGCCTCCCAATTTTGGATCCTTAAATTTCATATTTCCAACAAGTGAATTCCTGACACTTTTCCTTAATTCCAAGATCTAAAGAAACAAAAAAACTCAAAATATGTCATTTTAAAGGTCCCCAGGGAGTTCATACACACATTTTTTGACAATTTTCATTTTGAACACGCAGAATTTTAACCTGGGGAAAAAGTTGACAAGTATGTGAAATTGAATTTTAATAAAGATAAAATAACAAGGAATATTCTTAATATTTTAATACACACAAATAAAATCAAGACAATTTACAATATGTTTGTGATCACAGGGCAAGTCACATTATTAATATAATGGTAATTTTGAATAGAGTCTTGTCCCTGTGTTTCTGACAACTATTTATTGTATTTGTACTTAATTTGTCCACATTTGAACAAATAGATTTATTCTTTAATTCATTGTGTAATGTGAAATGTATATACTGGTATGAAAAGATATATAACCATCATCGAAATTTTTAAGATGATTAACAAAATGTCTTAACATTAATTCTTTTCTTGCATTTCATTATCTGTGCAACATTTTGGCAAATATGTTTCTTGATTTATTCATCTTGAAGAATGGTAAAAACATCAAATGATTTAAAATAATGATTTCAAACGTTTCAGCTTCCGATGTCAAATTGAATTTTAAACTATTGATGGATTGACGTATATGTAACATGAACTGTAGTTTCGTAAAAACATGAAAGAATGAGTATGATAAACAGGAATGAGTTTGAAATACATATGCTATCTTATAATCTGCAATTTGCAATTGAGTTATCTCCCTTGAAAATTCTCAATTTCTATAGGAGTAAATTTAACTGTGCAAGACTTCAGGATCACCTGGTACGATAAACATCCAATTTTTTTTAATAGCATTATACTGTGTAAGAATTCAGGATCACCGAAGAATGTTAAACAATGTGTGCTTTTACCTTTCAATCTTTTTTGTCTTGTAATCAAATAAGTACAAATAAGTTTAAAAAAACCATTTCCAGAATTGTTAATTTCTTCATGCGGAACTCTTTAGGAAAGAAAACCAACATTGTAAAAAATGTAGCATACATCCTGAAATAGATAGCACTAATATGCATTGTTTTGCTAAGAACAACAGCATTTTGGCAATGAGTTAGTCAAACATAAGACCGATTCCTTCACATTGAAAATCATTCATTAGCCCCATCACCTTTAACACATTCATCCCTGAAAACACTTTTTAAACTCTTCTGATTCAAAGGTTGGAATAGTTCATAATGAAATTTCAGGGGTGAATGAGTTAACGTGACCACTGTTTCTCATGTAAGCACTTCTTGGGTTTGTAAACAAACAAGAAGCAATAGCTGTCTTTCTCAAATCTTCCGTGAGTCAATTTTTGTGTGGGTATGAAAATGAATACAGTGTCTTTCACAAATATTACCTCACAGTATTAAAGTAACCCAACATTGTCTATCAACAGCCTTCACAGAAAGAACTTTTTGAGATACAAAAATACAGATGTTGGCACTAGATCATCTTAGTACCACTACAGATAATGAAAAGATACTCTACGAAATGATATTTATGATATTTTCAAAATTGTCAAAGTTTGGAATTATAAATATCATGGATCTGACTGAGTTTGACAATGTTTTTAAAATCTAGATCACATGGCTGATAAGTAATTATGAAAATGATATATATCATTCAAAGCAAAAATTGAATTTATTTCTTTTTTAAATAAATTCTTCAGAATAAAGATTTTTTTCCCAATTTGCAAACAATAATGACAAAATGATTTCAAATAAGTAAAAATTCAACAATCACTACATTTTATTGATTATCACAAAAGATGTGAAAGAAATTTTGCGTGGTAGACTCTGTCGGTCTACATAGACTCTGTCGGTCTACATGTCAACCCTCTATGTGTTAGTGTCAGTTCACTGGTATGTGCTGTTTAAAAAGGCCATCTCATCTTCAATGGCTTTCCAGTACATGGAAAACGGTATTATTCAGAACTTAAAGAGCGTTTGAAGAAGATTGTGCCGTGCCGGTCCCGACTTGTCAAGTAGTGGGTGTGGTCTGAAATTGAAAAATCTTTTTTTTTAGAAGAAATTACAATGCTATTTCATTTTGCTATTTCTGTGTTCTATAAAACATTGTACATATGTATATTAAATGACGGTTCAATGCCCCCATCCCCACCACCCCGAAATGGTGCTTTTTTCTCGGTCTAGTGGTTTTTTGATTAATTAACTTTGTCAACTATTGGTTAGTTAGGGCGATAAACTGATTAATCAAATAGTTGAGAGTTTGAGGGGAGATAATTCTTAAAACTTAGGTCTCAAACAACAACATGGAACATTTCATGTTAAATTTCTTTAAAACGATTATAAATCGACATTGGTTAGTAATGGTAACGGCTGATCAATCATAACATTTAAACAATTTCCAAAAAGTAGTTTTCATTTCATTCTAGATCTATATGAAAGGGCGGAAATTGGGAGGCACTCTATTTTGAGTGTTCATCAATCCCTTGTACTTACTTTGTGATAAATGCTGATAAAATTTCTCTAGATTGTTTTGGGAAATATGGCTGCTTGACTGCGTACTCTAAAACTGTAAGTGGGCCAACAATACTGCTGGGCGGTCGGAACTTTTTGTCTTCGCCCTGTGGAGTAAAGATAATCAGATGATTGATAAAAGGCAATTCTGGTATCATTTCCATTCATGGTGTCCAACAGAATAAGTTCACCAAAATACTGTCCACTCTAACTTGTTCAGGGCTGAAAGTTAACCTTTGACGTATAGTTATTTCAGGGGTCATATTAACTTTCCACTAAAATTTATTTTCAAAAGTCAAAACACTTGTCAAACAGACATGTCGTTTCAGACCAAAAAGTCAAAGCTCATTGGGGGAGTCAAAAACATACTCTCCTGGGTCATATGAAAGCTTTGAATTGTGTTGCATAAAATTGGCTAAAAATTGGTAAAATTCTCATTATGCATTGTTTTATGTTGAATTCTACATTAAACACATTACCAGCAACAGGAAGTTCTCTTACATTAGAAAGCTTTAGTGCTTTGGGTCACATAAAGCAGCACATGTATCTGCCAACAGAAGACAGGGATTACCAGAACCACTAGCAGCAGGCAATAACGAAGGATTACATAGTTGGTGCTTCAATGTTACCTACCTGTAATACTCCCATATTGACCAGCAATGTTACCTACCTTTAATACTCCCATATTGACCAGCAATGTTACCTACCTTTAATACTCCCATATTGACCAGCAATGTTACCTACCTTTAATACTCCCATATTGACCAGCAATGTTACCTACCTTTAATACTCCCATATTGACCAGCAATGTTACCTACCTTTAATACTCCCATATTGACCAGCAATGTTACCTACCTTTAATACTCCCATATTGACCAGCAATGTTACCTACCTTTAATACTCCCATATTGACCAGCAATGTTACCTACCTTTAATACTCCCATATTGACCAGCAATGTTACCTACCTTTAATACTCCCATATTGACCAGCAATGTTACCTACCTTTAATACTCCCATATTGACCAGCAATGTTACCTACCTTTAATACTCCCATATTGACCAGCAATGAATTGGCAAACAATGAGGCTCCTCCTTCTGTACTGTCCAGCAGTAAATCCTCAAACAGTTTATCTGAAATTACAAACCACATACAATAAAACCCAAAATATTGTATCCAAATTATATAAGGAGAGATTACTCCAAGTACAAAAAATCACAGTGCAGTGGGAAAAGGATTCTTAAAACTGGTGGCATCTTTTTTAAATTAAATATTGGAACGGTTTAAATAGTTTTACGACTGTTCAGTTAATAGGACAGAATTTTACCTGTACAATCACACGCTGCTTCCTTTGTCTTGGTATCAACTGGAGTAACGACTGAAGAAACCTGGTGATAAACATCAGAACTAGAGCCAACAGTCAACAATTTTATAAACATTACCACTATAATTTAAAAGGGTCATCTTAATTTAGGATTTAATTTCATACAACAAGGAGAACCAAAAAGAATAAAAACATGTCATTTCATACATTGGATATAAAAATGGTCTATAATATCAATACATTTTAGCTATCAAGGACTGACACAATGTCCAAGGCAGGTATATGTATGTAATTCTTGGTTCAAGGAAAGACAACTCTGTTAAATGGTATGCAAGTGTGAGTTAGGCTGTTGTCTTACCTTTATAAATGTCTGAACTGCCTTGTCCACATCTGAACAATCACTCTACAAAAATAAAATTCAACACGACTATAACCATGACTACAGGTATATAAATCCTTCTGCCATGTGGTGTTACATTGGTTAAAATGTTTCACTCTATGGGCAATCTTCCTTTAAATTATTATAAGTCCAATTCTAAATGTTTGTGAGAGTTAAGAATTAGATGAGTGTGTGACCTCAAATAGAGCAAAAAAGAAAAGATTAAACATAACATAACCATCTCTCAAAACAAGAGTCAACGTAATTTGAAAGAGTGTTCATTAATAAAAAGTAACCAAAGGGATTCAATTCTGTTTTTATCTTTCAACAAACATCACCAGACAATCTCAAACAAATTTTTTAAAGAAAAAATAGGATATATTACTGATTAAAAATGGACAGTTTAACTTTGTATAAATAAATGTGCATACATTTCAATTAACGATGAACAGAACAAACATAATACAATGCCTCACCCCTAGCTCTTGTTTCAGTGCTGCAGCTCGGCCAGTCCCTAACTGAATCAATTTCGTCGGAGAAGGGAACGCCAGAAAATCCTTGGCAGAAACGGACTGAAAAAATAATTAAGAAAAAAAAAAGTAAATTTCTGAACTCTTTGTTCCTGTTTTAATGTTTTTAAACTTTTTAGTGTAAATCCTGAAAAAGATGAAAATGCATTTTTTTTTACCAGGTCGATACGGCTTTCTCAAGATAACCGCTGGTTGTGGTGATGTCATGTTATGTATCCGTGGTGCCAAGTTAACAATTTAGTATCAATATAAACATCTATGTACTTACATGTGAAAAAGGCCATTGGGACAATTCATCAATATATACACGGTTAAATCACTAATTTTAATGTCCCCCCCGCCCCCCCAAATCAGTCAATTTCTGTGAGTAATCTTCATCTACAAATTCGTCGGTCTACAAAGTAATAACAAGTTTGATATAAAGCTAATTCTGCGTATGAGGGGATACTTATTTTCCACAAATTCGTCGGTCTACAAAGTAATGACAAGTTCAATAAAAAGCTATTCTCTGCTCGAGAAGGTCCACATAATCCAAGATTTCATGTACCCATGAAATGGTGTCTGTCAAGAAACCACAAAATTTGGAACCCAAAGAAAATGTCTGATTTCACAGTTTACTAATTTTGCGATCACAGCATATCTGACATCAACTGTTGATTGATTCATTGAATCAAAGTTGGGTTCACTCCCTACATGGGGCTTAAATTTGTGAATACCTGGTTATAACGATTGAACGATATTTTTTCTATTTCATGCTGGTAAAATCACTTATAAAATGTCGTTCAAACATTATATTAACATTCTAAAAAAATTGTTATTATCGACTCAAAATACAGACATTTCCTTAAATTTTAATATTGTCTGTATATTCAATACACACAAAGATTCATATTCTAGCTCTGGGCCCAAATTCATGAAACCGTTCTAATGCTCAAGCATAGATTTTGTGCTCAAATTAAAAAAAAAACAATATCTTATTTTGTCAATTTGGAAAAACATTAAAGATATGTATAACTAAAACTGTTTTCAATGTCTTCATTTGACTTTTTGATCGTTTGTCATGATTTAAGCGAGTTACAAGAAAATAGGTTTGAGCACAGAATCCATGCTTGAGCACGAAAACGTTTTCATGAATATTTCGTGATTACAACCTGCAAGTCCTTCAAACATTCATTCCAACCACACACAGACTTACTATTCCAGACACTGACTTACGTGTATATCAAAACATTGGCTTCAGATTTTCTTATCAGATATAAATTATTATACAGAGAAACCTGTCCAATACAAACCCAACATTTGTCCAAGATTTTATGGTAACTCTACGAGGTTTGAAGTAAATCCGTTGAAAATTACTCAAGATATCAAGCGGACACGGTGCATGTGCATCATCTGCTGATCTGAAATTTGTTTATTTGCCAAGCATCAAAGTATTTTTATGGTACAGTAGTAAAGTTATGGAATGCTGTTTTCTGGAAAACTAGAAACCACTGTAAAATATCATTATGTTTTCCAGTGATCACTTATCTGATATGAAAGTTTAATACTGGTACTTGTGGACAGCTGCAATGCTCTACCGCAATTACTGCAGGTGGTCTCTCGAGACAGGCTATATCTAATTGACAGGTGGTCTCTCGAGACAGGCTATACCTAATTGACAGGTGGTCTCTCGAGACAGGCTATATCTAATTGACAGGTGGTATCTCGATACAGGCTATACCTAATTGACAGATGGTCTCTCGAGACAGGCTATATCTAATTGACAGATGGTCTCTCGAGACAGGCTATATCTAACTGACAGATGGTCTCTCGAGACAGGCTATACCTAACTGACAGATGGTCTCTCGAGACAGGCTATATCTAACTGACAGATGGTCTCTCGAGACAGGCTATATCTAATTGACAGATGGTCTCTCGAGACAGGCTATATCTAACTGACAGATGGTCTCTCGCGACAGGCTATACCTAACTGACAGATGGTCTCTCGAGACAGGCTATATCTAATTGACAGGTGGTATCTCGATACAGGCTATATCTAATTGACAGGTGGTATCTCGATACAGGCTATATCTAATTGACAGGTGGTATCTCGATACAGGCTATATCTAATTGACAGGTGGTATCTCGATACAGGCTATATCTAATTGACAGGTGGTATCTCGATACAGGCTATATCTAATTGACAGGTGGTATCTCGATACAGGCTATATCTAATTGACAGGTGGTATCTCGATACAGGCTATATCTAATTGACAGGTGGTATCTCGATACAGGCTATATCTAATTGACAGGTGGTATCTTGATACAGGCTATATCTAATTGACAGGTGGTATCTCGATACAGGGTATATTAAATTGACATATTGTTTCTGAAGAACATTGATTTTTGACAGGTAGTCTCTCAAGCCTTCCTATATTCGACAGGTAGTCTTTCAAGCCAGGTAATATACATTTAATTGTCAGGTGGTCTCTCAAGACAGGTTATATTTGACATGTAGTATCTCAAAACAGGTTATATTTAATTGACATAGTTTCTCAAGTCAGGTTATATTTGACAGTTAGTCTCTTAAGTTAGGTTATATTTAATTGACAGGTGGCCCCTCAAGCTAGGTTACATCTAATTGACAGGTGGTCTCTCCAGCCAGGTTACATTTAATTGACAGGTGGTCCCTCAAGACAGATTACATATTTGACAGGAGATCTCTCAAGACGGATATTATCTAATTGACAGCTGGACTCTCAAGCTAGGTTATATTTAACTGACAGGTGGTCCCTCAAGACAGGTTTTATATTTGACAGGTGATCTCTCAAGACAGATTATATCTAATTGACAGATGGAAGCCCAAGCTAGGTTATATTTGAAAGGCAGTGTTTCGAGCCAGCTTATATTCAACGACAACTGGTCTGTCATGAGAGGTTATGTTTGATAGGTGACCTATAGCTTCATTTGATATACTGTAATAGTTTATATTCCTCAAATGAAGTTTAATGACTGTTAAATGTCTAGTCCAAAGTACAAACCACAATATTTAGGGAAGGGATATCACATGTGAACTAACAGAAAAAGGGAAAAGACCTCCCGACTCCTGCTGTGAAGTAAAATAAAAAAATCCAGATCCTATGTTTATAAAAGAATTGATTTTATTTTGACATGATATTTAAAAACAAAGACTGGGCCAGTCCCAAATCTAAACAACCATGCTACAATAAAGTGGACAAATGAGTAGCTGCTTTGACAATGTATTGTGACTATCACTATAATATAGAAATTGACAACTGTGGGGTAAAGAAAGCATAAAAACAGCTCATATATTTGATTTTAATGGCTTTTCAACAACACAGTAATTTAAAAACTTAATAGTGAATGCTGATCTAAAAATAATGCTAGCACAGAAAGTGCTCATAGACAAGCTTGTTCCCTAAAGTCACATTTGAACCTTAACGTAATCAACGACTGCGCAAGACCAGTTCAAATAGTAGGGGTGAATGAGTTTAATGATTATTGACATGATGAAATGATATTAAACAACATCCAAATTTTCAGTTAAAATTTAAATATATACCTACAAACTGACAAATAACAGTTTTGAAAACAAAATTATTTAAAACATTCTTTTCTCAATATCGCTGCATTTTTGACTTTTAACTTTTTGAAAATTGCATGGGGGAGATTCTGCATGCTCATAATTAAAACAGATAAAATATGTGTATTACTCCTTAGAGACAAAATGACCCTTTAAAGTGACATTTTTTGAGTTGTTCTTTAAGATGAAATCATTAGATCTTAGAATATATGAACAGCTAAGCAAATTCACGGGTTGAAAACACTTAATTTAAGGGTTCCAAAATAAGGAGTCTCCCTCATAAATATATAGAGTTGGCAAGTATGGATTCTTTTTGACAAGTCTGTGATGAGGGTAATGAAACAAATCAGGTGGAACAGCCATTTAGTAGGAGCAAGGTGTCCAGATTTCTATGGTTACTTTTTTTAGTTTGGCAAAAAATATCAACACAATAGGAAACTATTCAGAAATTTCTATCAAAGGTTGAATTTCACACTATGACATGATTGGTCCCCTATTACTCAACAAGAAGGAAAGATCCAAACAGTTTCCTATCTGAAAATATTCATGTGTAATAGCTCCTGATGTAATTCTTTCATAATAACATTTTGAAATGGTAGGTTCATCTTAAAGCTGTACAACAAAAACGTAAATATTTTCAAATAAAACATTTTTATAAAATCAGATATTAAAGTCAGAATAAGAACATTTGGTTTTATTTTATTTTATTTTAAAACACGTCCAATTAACAGCTAATGTCATTTAAGGACGTGCCTCCATGTGTAATGTATGTGTGCTTGTGTGCTGGAGGCAGGGTATGTTGAGATTAAGAAGAATTGCTTGCTCATATAAACACAAATATTGTAAGGAAATCTAGAATCATAATGTTTGGTATAAACACAAATATTGTAAGGAAATCTTGAATCATAATGGTATTTTTATATTAACCCTTTTAATAGTTTTTTCAATGGGAGTGTAACAGAGATGGGCTCCTAAATGATGCAATGCTGATTTTAAAACGAAGCGTCAATAAAAAAGTTTGTAAAATCTTGGCAGCCAACAGAAATGAGGTATGACATCTACAGAGACATGATTAAAGAGTATTTCTATCACAAAGTCAGTGCAATAATATAGTATTGTCAAAATGAATAAAAGCAAGAATTCTTGTTTTAAAAGTGGGTATTAAATATATTTAAAAGCATTGCTATCACATAAATGTCTAAATTCTGCATTTCTAAAATCTGTTTTAAGTATGTACCCATATAACAGGTAAAGGTTGAATAACAACACTGCTGGTATATAATACATTGTACACAGGTTTGCCGATGATCATGCAGGTACATGGTTTAAAACACCACCATGCTACCATACTAAAATATCACAGATAAACTGGGGAGATCCAGAAAAACTTGCAACCACTTTTTCTCTCTATATAATTTACATGCAAGTCAATTTCATTATTGAGACATAGATATTGAACAAGAATTGCCCTTGGGACTGAATAATTTTAGATTTCCTGGACTACTAGGATGTTCGCTGTGGTCAAGACAGTTTCATATTTCCCAGATCAGCGACGAGATCAAGTGTGGCATCACCCTGCAAATAACCCAAAGGAGATGTTTTAGTGGCCAAGTCATCGAAAAAAGTAAAAAGTTTCAGGGATTTTTTCTACACTGTACAGTTATGTGGTGGGGTTGGTGAGGATCTTATTTTGTGAAAGTGACAATCAAAAGTACAGTGAAAATTGTCTTATGTGACCCTTGAGCATTATGACGTTCTATTCTACTCAACATGATGCAATCCCTTTTTAAACGAAAATTACCAAAATAAGACCTGTGTATTCTATTTTACAATCTTTTCTATAATGTTACTATCGACCAAAATATATGAGAAATATGATATTTCCCATATCAACACAACAGTTAATCTTTTTTTATTTATTGAAGTATTTTCCATTGATCATTACAGTTAAATTTTAAAACATTGTTCAAAATAGTATTTTTCAATACATTATCGATTATTTCTCAAATCTGATTTTAGGCCAAATAAGGAAATGTATAGGCCTGTCTAGGGTTTCTCTACCTAAACCAATGTTCACAATTCTGACCCTTCAGATTTCATATGCAGTTTTACGATTTTTAGGATTTTTCATTCGCAGATACAATATTATATCATTTAAATTAAACTACCTACTGTAACATTTTTCTGGATGTTTTTATCAATAGATTTTTTTTATTTAGATTTATTTGAAGAATTCACACAAAAACTGTGAAAATCAGTAAAATAAATGACTTGAATTCAATTAATATATTGCACTCTAAAGAAAATGTTCAAATTTAAGCAAAAATTGGAGGAGGGCTTACAAGTAAACATGGCTTAATCAGTGTTAAATGTGGGATGGGGTGGGTGACGCCACACTTGACAAGTTATCCGAGATAGGTCAGGGAGGTAAAATCTGACTCAAGTCTGGAGTAGTCAAACATGTATGAATACGTTATAATAAACAATTCCTCAGAAAATAAAACATTTTAATGACAAAATAGTATATTCGTGTCAGAACTCATGAGAATTTTTTTTTTATCAACATGTATGACTGAATGTTAGCATCCAAAATATTGTATAAAATTTACAGGAATCAGCAGCGCAGGACCCCATTCACAGCCAATCAATGTTTGGGAATACCAACTCCAGCTATATATACTGTATTATACAAGGTTTTATAAACTGTTAAAAGCAGTAGATACTGTATTCAGTTGTATTCAGTATATATACAGTATAAAGTTGCTAATATACTGCATTTAGGATTATATATAGGAAATCAAGCCTTAGTACAGTAATTAGTAGTGAGGGCAACAGAAAGTCATCAGATATATGAGGAGCTGTGATTTACCTAGGCTGTACCACTGCAAGTCTTACCTGTTTTTCAGGACTGATGGCCTTCCCTTTCACTTGTAACTCTGGGTCGTCCACCGCATCCCCATCTTCGTCTTCCTTGGCCTCGACCTCCTACAACAGTAGTTCACACCCTCGGTATTGACAACACATATACAAGTAGGGATGGGTATGCCAAGCAATTTTTATATTGCAATATATTGTATTCCAAGAAATTTAGTACAGTACATTTATATTGTGTTTAGTGTCACTTGTTATGTTCATTTATATTGACTTTATACAACGGTAGAAAATATGATAAGTGAGTGTCAGGTCATGATCAGCAGCAAGATATATCACACCAAGCATGCTGTCTTTTGATAAATTTGATAAACTATCAATGTTATTTCTGTACAATTATTTCGAAACNGCTTGACGTTTGACATTTGGACTTCAAAAAGAATCGCAAGGAAGCAAAATATACATTTTACATGTACTATGATGTGATGTGTTTCCTTCCACCTCCATATTTGCTGGGCTAACAGAAATGTAATTACTGGTGCAATACTCATTTGTTAGCTTTGATTTGTTTTATTTCACCTTAAATACCTCCCCCATCAAGAGCCAGGGTCAGAGTCAGAGATCCACTTTGTCTTTCACCTTTGGACCCAAATGACCTTGACCATTAACCCAGTGACCCTGATCTTTGGTCAGTTGACTTATTCTTTAATTCAGACCAACTTTGCTTCTTAATATCATAACAAAATGTTCATCAGTGAAAAATACAAAACTTGACCTTGACCCTTTGGACCCAGTAACCTGGAACTAAGGTCAGTTGACTCTGTGTTAAGTTCTGAGCAACATTGCTTCAAAGTGTCATAGCGAAATGTTCAACAGTGAAAAGATACAAAATTTAACCTTGACCTTTGACGTAATGACCTTGACCTTTGGTCAGTTGCCTCGTTTGATTCTGATCAACTTTGCTTCATCATGTCATAACAAAATGTTCATCAGTGAAAAGATGCAAAATTTGACCTTGACCTTTGAATCTCATGACCTTGACCTTTGACATCAACTTTTTACCTCAGTGTGTCTCTTTGTTTAATTCCAAACAACTTTGCTTCATAATGTCATAGCGAAATATTCACTAGTGAAAAGCTACAAAATTTGACCTTGACCCCTGACCCGATGACCTTGACCTTTGGTCACTTGACTCCTTGTTTAATTCTGATCAACTTTGCTTCATAATGTCATAACAAAATGTTCATTAGTGAAAAGATGTAAAATTTGACCTTGACCTTTGAACCTAATGCCCTTGACCTTGACTTTTTACCTGAATGTGTATTTTTATGAACTGAACATCTTGACCAAGTTTCATGTACATCGGTCAATAAATACCAAAGTTATCAGCCAAGAACAAAATTTGTGGACGGACAGACAGACAGACAGAGTGATTACTATAGGGCACCCATATTTCCGATACGGAGCCCTAATTATTTGAAAACCTATTGTAATATATTGGTATTATATACACAAGGTAAATAAATTCAAACCAAGGGATTAAAAGGACTGCAGTATTAAAATTTTAATATTTGTCAAAGCTTATCATGAATTGTGTACCCTAAAACACCAAATTTCTGCCCCAAGTTAGTTTCACCATTCACATTATGTCATGTTGCCAACTTATATATGCTGTAATGATAAATTTGCCCTCATCACAGAGGGCGAAAGGCGAGAATTAAACAATAGCGAAAATGTCCTGGTGTATAGTCTACAATGTGACTTATACCACCTGTACAGAAAAAAACACATGATGATTACTAGAGTAATTTTGCACAAACCTCTCCATGAACATCACCTTCCTCCTCATCTTCATCATCTGTTCCTTCGTCTCCACTACAACAAAATAGGTCACCTTATAATCTCTGTACTAGTACAATACAACCTTACAATGACATCTTCAATAAAAAAATATATACTTCCTGATGCCAGCCTTAACTTGGAGCAATGATTTTACCAACCAACATCTTGCATCTCAAAATCTGATTCTCAGGAATATTACGATTCTTATAAAAGAGATAATTTGATGGGTCAACTAAATAAAAAAGGACTGTATCATATCAAATGTTTTACAGTATCACTATACAGTAAAACATCACTTGTCATTTAGACATGGCAGTCACCATTGAGACCTTAACTCTAGACAACAAGATGGGGGAGTTAAGGAGACATGGAAGTTTTCCAGAGCCAGTGAGAGTCGAGGAAAGGTAGGATCAGTGTCAGTGCTCATACAGACAATTGCAGGGCTAGAAATTAATTTTGAATACCACTAGTCAATAGGGGTAGTAGTTTCCAAGTTTTATTAGTCCATGTGAAGATTCCACTAAGTCAATACTATTCAACAAGATAAGCAATATCATATTTTGACTAGTCAATTGGGCTAGTAGTTTTAAGAACCACTAGTCCAGCTGGAGATTTCACTAATCTCAGACTATCTGGCTACTCTTATTGCCTAGCCCTGATGTTATTCAGTCGAAAATAATAATGATAAGTCAGCGAGAATGGTCATAGAAATTAGTTAACTTGCTGACATGACACATAACATTAAGGGGGCCATACAGGTGGTGGTCAAGTGGTTAAAGTCGCCAGGTTCTGGCGGCAGGCCATAAGTCGGTGTTTTTTCTCTGGGTACTGCAGTTTTCCTCCAGTGCCAAAACCTGGCTAGACCTTAAATGACCATACCTGTTAATAGGCATAAAACAACCAAACAAATCAGGAAGACATATCAGTCAAGGAGGTATTGCACTAGTCACAAAGACAAGACTCATCAAGATTTGAGAGTAGAGGATACCTGGCACTATTCATAGACATGAGTCGGTGAGAGTCAACGAGAGACATGATCAGCAACTTTGGAATTGAAGATTTGATTCATGGAGACTTGAAAGTCATTGAGTCATTGAACGTTACCTGTCATCTCTCAGACGTAAAATAATTCATGAAGAAATGACAGTGTTGCCTACCTGAGAGATCCAAGTTTATCGGATTTGTTTATAGCCTCCATTGTGCCCTTCACCTCTTCCACTCCATCTTCTCCTAGCTGATTGGCTGTTTATGACAAAATCGAACACACCAATCATATAGCTGTATATAGTACATCAAAGTTAAAAGTAAGAATCTTAACAAAATCGTACAATTATGGACTCAGAAAAGAAAATACAGGGAAAAATAACAGGGATCATAAAATTTCATCAGTGCAAAAAAAGAGAGAATTATTCCTTCACATGAATTAAACACAATTTCATCTCTCTAGGTCTTTGAACATAGCAAAACCTCAATATAATGTCTTACGGTACATATGACACATCACATTACTGAAAATGTATTTGAAAATTACATTTTCTTGAACAATTTTGCATATATATATATATTTTCCTCGATATATTGCCAAACCCCTTTATAATGCCAACATTAGGCTAGAAAAACAGTGCCAATATACCCACATTAAAACTTCGCTATAATGCCCTTCATTTGCCACTTTGCTTATCACCAAGATATTTGACGATACCATTTTTCTTAAGAATTCCTTTATTTGTTTTCTTTAATTTATCACCAAACCCCATTATTTCTCTGGACAAATGGTGGCAGTATAACGATGCCTTACTGTATAGGTTTACTATATGGCATGAGCACACAACAAATGTCCAAGGCCTCTGTATGATCTGCAAAAAGTCTGAACTTTATAAAAAGAAAGCTTTAACCGGACCTACATGTTACATCAACGATAAGAAGTGTGCGATTGTTCGACATGCGTACAAAAAATCTCGAAGGACGTGTATAAAGATATATTTAGATATGAATTTTCAGCTTTGAAACATTGTTATCTAACCTCTCCCAATATACTGTCCCACAAATGTAGCTGGTTAGTTAGTGAGCTTAAACATACCAGCAGACAGTAAAAAAGTTTAACCAGTCAAGTAGTTTGTTAAAGGAGGAATCTCCTACAAATGGCTCATGTTACAGGGTAAGGAAGATTTTGTTTGCAGACTTCAAAGTATTTAGAAATATCTAAATTTCTGCAGTGTTCAGTCCGACCTCTTTAGGTAGGTGGTCAGTTAAGAGTTGATGTGTACTTACAGTCCAAATCTAAGAGTTCCAAGTTCACTTTATTCTCCATAGCATCAGCTATCGCCGTGGCGCCTGGCTTGCTTATTTCATTTCCAGAGAAATTTACTTCCTACAAAGTAAAGATGGGGCCCATTTTAATATGGTTCACAAGTCCAAATCAAATCTCTGATCATATTTTAGTAGTGATTGATGAGTGGACATAACAAATTGATAGTATTTACCCAATATTTCATTCTAATTCCCTATTAAGATGACAACATAGACATTTGCAGGTAATCATTTAAATGTTAATGCAATTTCCCACATTTCATATACAAAGTCCTAAATCACCTGTATAATGTTATAATGTAACATTATCTATAGCATGGCTGTATTTCATAATTGTTTCAATTAAGTCATTCTTTCTTACATTTTTATCACATACCTGTTGAATCTTGTTCTAGTAATACAAGCAATTTTCAGACCATGAAATACAACGTTTTGTATTGCACATGTGCAATACGGAATGTTGTATTTACCTACAAGCCAGAACTACTTTTTATGGGAATCCCATTGTCATGGTGAACTGAAAAGTTCCTGGTATTTGCAAAAAATATCAAAGTTTATAAAATCTTTGTATCGATCTCTACTAAATACGGAAGGTATGTGATAAAAGCAAGACCACACACTTGTGTTTTTCTAAAGAATCAGACAGCACTCATTTATTGCGCGGATGTATATATTCACTCTTGCGTGGAGCGCACTCTTGAATATACTCGTTTGCACAATAAACTTGTGCTTTCTGATTCGTTAGAAAATCACAAGTGTGTGGTCCTGCATATATACCCTTAACCTCAGCCAAGGAAAAATGCAGATTTTTTCACTTCTATCATCTTATGTTCTTAAAATGGTAGCTTCAGAAATGTTCAGTACCCGACTTACCCTAAGACTAGTATGACTATCAGCAATGGCACTGGCCAACACCTTCGCTCCATCTGTTCGCACCAAACAGTCTCCGAAATTTAATACTTCTAACTTTTGTACGTGAGGTAGAACCTAAAACAATCTCAAAAGTGTTATTAACCCAAACAAATTTAAATGTACATGTAAGGAAACTGTTAACAATTTGCTTTTTAACAAGATATATCAGGAATAACATTTTAAAATAACAATCATCTTAGTAAGGAAATTGTCTTTGATATGATAGTAGTGAAAAGCATACAATCATGTACATTATATATGCCTCTGGTGATTTGTCACTTTTCATACATGTATATAAATCTACATTAATGATATCATATGCACCATGACATGGGTTTTCGAGTTTTGCATCAAAAATCCTCTTAATTGCTGGAAAGATCGCTAGTACTCTACCGTCAATTTTTTCCTAAAAGAAAGAATAGAGTAGTTTTTTATGAGTTTTTGTTTATTTAATAATTGTTAACAAGAGGCCCATAGGGCCTGTATCGCTCACCTTGATATCTAAGCAATCATGGCAGAATATTCTCCAAATGAGATCCAAGGGAATATGCCAGACCCCAAGGCCAATCCTTGTAGCATATATATCTGTATTCAATTTTTCATGCCCAGCAATTTTATGTATGGTTATGGGGTGGGGATCTCAACTGTTTCCAAGCTGTGACGCAGAAACTAGGTCCCTACGGTTGTGGCCAGACCCCAGGATCAATTCTAATATCATGACTGCATTTGTCTCTTTTT